CACACACACACACACACACACACACACACACACATATATATATATATATATATATATATATATATATATATATATATACGAAAAAATAATAAATACTGCATTTACATAATTATACAATATTAATAGGTAATTACATGTGTGCAATTATTATAATTAATAAATGTGTGTATGCACATAATAATATTCTGTTAAAGTATTATTAGAACAGAAGGTCCAGTAGCTTCCTATGCTCTTGTAGTAAAGGTCTGATGGAGTGAAGTGTGCAGTGATGCTGCCCTCTGCTGGTAGTGCACACTACAGCACACTTCTCCTGAGCTCACCACAGATGTTTATTTCCTGTTTCTGAAATCAAACAAACTCTGGGAACGATTAAACATTAGTCCAGCAGCAGGGCATCGAATCAAACACAATCAGCCCAATAACCTGCATGAGTGAATATGGAGCGCATATGGAAATGAGACGTCAACTAATGAATGAATCATGAAACGAGCTTCTCACGCATCCCATCCATCAGCGCTGAGAGAAACACTGAAGACTAGAATACTTCATTCAGATTTATCAGAAGGACTTAAATATTATAAAGCACCATGATATTACCATGTTTCTTGGACATGTATAAAATACCACGCTACAGATGTGAAGTAATGAGGATGTATTTTCATTTAGACCTTAATGTGGGGAAAAACTAAGGGCCTTAGAGAGATGAATGAGACATACCTCAATTTGCAGGATTTCTTCTTCCTGTTGTTTTTTAATGTCTGAAACGACGGCCTGATGCTCTGAAACACACACACACACACACACACACAAAACAATGTAAAATCTATAGGAAATATGAGTCTGTGAATATGAATGAAGCTTCAGAACAATCATTTTTATTATAATTCGAACACTAACTTCACGAACACTACTGAAGGTTGAATGCAGATGCTGTGCATTAGTTAGTTTTGTAAAGAAACTGATATTTAGATTTATGATACTTTGATTTGCATACATGCATACATACATGCATACGGATCAAAACCAAACCAAAATGTGTTCTTGTGTTAGGGCAACTTTGATTAACTTTTAACTTTGTGTGTGTATGTATATGTATATATACTGTACATATATATACACACACACAACAAAAAATACATAAAATATATAAAAAATGTAATATTAAAAAACACGCGTGTCCACATATTTGAGTAGAAATCTTTGTAAACTCACACAACACATGGCACAAAGGATGAAAAACACGGTGTAATCATGCGAATGATGTGAATGTGATCAGTGATGGAGGGAATGATTAATCGCTGCTTGTTGCTAGGCAACATTAGTAAACAAACACTAGCACAAGGTGGAAAAAGCCTAGAATGAATACAAGTGCTTTAATATTTCTGAAGCTCAGCTCAGCCAGTGACAGAGTTGAAATGAGGCGAAGCCACTGAAGACACGGCGTGATTGAGTTACTCACCCTCCTGCTCCTCGACCGCTGCAAAGAAATAATCTCGTTTAGACATTCAGATCCCTGAACGGAGTTAAAATGACTTTCCAGACTCTAAAATCACATGAATCCTGTTTCTGAAGAAGCAGCGAATGTAGAAGATGGAGCGTGATTAACATCAGCTGAATGCTAGATGAACTGAAGATCGTCTCTCAATAACGCATGAATCTGAGAACTAACAGACAGCAGGATGAGCTTTCGGTACGAATAGAGAGACCTGAAATCCTGAAAAAATACATCTCAAGAGTCAAGACTCAATATTATACCAGCCATGTTATTTTTCATTTTATATGAGGTTTGGGGTTTTGTTTTAAACCGTGATATGTGAGATTTTATCTACAAAAAACAATGCATTGCATTAAAAAAAAAAAAAAAGAGTAATATTTCTAACAATAACTAGTTGAATGCTTGAGTTCGATGAATGCAGTCAGAAATACACTTTGTAAAAAAAAATTTTTTTTAAAGATATCTATATATATATTATATAAGATATGTGTGTGTGTGTGTTTGTGAGCATTATGGACAATATTTTCCTATTTAATACTGTAAAGCTGCTTTAACACAATCTGTATTGTTAAAAGCACTATATAAATAAAGGTGACTTGACATGAACTGCTAGGGAGCAGTGTTGTTATCATTAAATAAAACCACTGAAAAACAATGTTTTCAGCAAATAGTTTGTTGCTAATGCAACCTTTCTAGTCGAAGTACTAACATTACTCAGTTTTAAATTAAATAAAATTTAATGAAAGTAATAAACAAAACTTATTAAAACTGACAAAATCACAACAATATTATTGTTAACTGAAACTTAAACATGTACATCACTGAAATAAACGTGAACTGAATTAAAAGTAAATTAAATAAACAAAATAAACTTATACAAAACTTTCAGTTATTCTTTCAATATATATTCCAGTTAGTTGTCAAAGGCAACATTTAAAAGTTTTATTAAAGTTGAATTACTAAAATAACTAAGAGATACATAAAATGATAAAACTGACAAAAACTAAATTAAATAATATCATTAACTAAATCGATTTAAAAACATTTACATTAATTGAAATAAAAAAAACTAACTGAAATTAAATAAAATAAGAAAACTTTCAGTTATACTTTAAATAATCCAGATAGTTGACAAGGCAACATTTCTAATTTTTGCTAACAATTTAATTTGAATAATTTTAGTACTTAAACTGAAATTTAAACAAACAAACAAAAAAACTGACAAACTAAAATGGAAACAGGAAATATAAAATTAACTCAAAATATTAATAAATACTATAAAACTAAATGCTAAAATAAAACGGCACTGAATCCACATGAACCCAGAACACAAAGCGTCTCAGAAGCTGAAGTCTGATCAGGGCTGTCTGTATAAACTGCTAGTTAAGTCAGGGTTAAGCGAAAGATATACAGAGCCAGGACTGTAAATAAGTGATAAACGCTGAACACACACTGCAGCAAACACACAGCTCCGGTGTAACCCGTGTCACTGACTGCTGAAGAGGTTTATAATCAACCAGCACTGGCTGCTGACATCATTCCCAAGATTTCCTTCAGTTTAGATTTGATTCAGTGGTGATTCCTTTGGGAATATTTCAGTTATCATGGCAACAGACACATTTGATCACAACATTTCCAAACATACACACCTTTAGGCCTAAAATGCAGATTTGTGTGTTTGAATTTCATATAAAATTTCCATTTATTTGGATTACATCATTTTAACAAACTTGCATATTAATGCATATGCGTGTAAACTTTCTGCAGTCAGAAAAACATGACTGTTTATTAACTATTTGCATCCGTTTGGTTTTATTTCAATAAAGCATTTATTTAAATAGTGTAAAATCTGCATAAATCGGTTGATTGTGAAAACATATTTTAGTTAAAAAGTATGAGCATGATTTAAATATGGTTAGCTGTGGAACAAGCCATTTAATTACATTTGTTATGTGTGTGAGAGAGTGTGTGTGAGAGAGTGTGTGTGAGTGTGTGTGGGATTTATTGACAATAAACCTGGCTTTTGTAAATTTGAAACATCTAGTTTATTAGTACTATTACAGAAATCTGACCCGTTTCGTTCCTGACAAATCTAAATCACATTCAGTTTATTATTATTCTTATTAATATTTTAATTAGTTAGGTTTAAACCAAAATAATTTTAATTTTATAATTTTAATTTTTGTCTTTTGTAATTGTAATTTTAGGTCTATATTTGTTTGTTTTTGTTTGTGTGCAGGTTCATATAAAGAGTTCAGTCAAATCAGTTTACATTACTTTGTTTCATTTTTTCTAGATATTATATTAGCCATTAAAAACATACAAAAACAAACATTGGGCAACTGATAACAGAATTAGAGTGTAAACAAACTATATTAGTAAGCAAAGCAAAAAGAGTCCATGTTTGTTTGTTTGTTTGTGTTTAACACCATGCCAGCTTCTGTGGCTATTTTCAAGGCAAGAAAAATGTATAACAAATTATTAGGTTTTTAAAATTTATTTTTTGCTAAAAACGCTAAAACTGTATCTAGCTTAACTCTTAAAAATATCTTCAAAAGACTTAACTGAAAAAAGTTCTCTCACATGGTTAAAAAGAGCACAATCTAATAAAACATGCTTCAGAAATAAAGGGGTTTAGAGGATAAAAGAGTCCATGTGGAATCTCGTGTATGAACAGCTGTATAAAATCACTAAATCTCAGAATCGTGCTGTGGTTCATGAGTTATCTGATGAGCCGTGGCCTCGAGCAAATGAATCTCAGCCAGCATAATTATACGGGTTTAGAGCGACGAAAGCAGGTGAAAGATATCAACATTCATTTTCAGATGAACTGGTCCTTTCTGCATGTGCATCAGCAGATGGCGCTCTGACTCCGACAGCTTCTTGGGAGCCTAAAGATGATGCAGAGCTTTTTCTTGGTAAGAGCCAATCACAATCGAGCAGCAGATCACATGATGCCAACCTCAGCCAGTAAGAACAAAGACAACAAGACCTCATGCGTGTCCATTCATTATAGTGTGTTCATGTTCCCCCAGTCCAAAGAATGAAATGCTAAACTTCAGTAACACTAGTATTTCCAGCAGCTAAAAAAATGAGTCTGTCTCAGTTTGTTCTGTTTCTTCATGTGACTCCAGACAGACTGATGATGATCAGATCACATCTCTGTGTGCAGCACAAAAATCTCACTGCATTATTACAATTAATGGCTAAATGAATGTTTGGAAATGCAAACTCATATTTCCAACTGACACGCTACAGCAAAAGATAGAAATAACTGACTTTTAACCATTTTTTAGCTGCTGGAAATACTAGTGTTCTAATCATTTAACATAAACAAGGTGCCACAGAAGGAAAGACTAAACCCTGCCTCTGCACTGATCTGACTCCGCAGGACATGCAAGACAAGAAAGAACAGCTTGCTGCAGTGAAAGTGAAGTGAATCAGGACTCACGTCAAACTTGTGTGCGATCTGTCCGCTGCTGCTGTACGTCTCTCTGAAGCAGTCGCTGAAGGGCAGCAGGAGGCCCATGGCCAGGATCCTGGAGCACAGCTTCTCGGCCTCCTCTGGCTCTCTGGAGTCCTGCTGCTGGAAGAAGCGCTCCAACAGCGTCCGGCCTGAGAAACAGCAGACTCAGTCAGTCACGTTACTCTGTGCAAACACTGACGGAACCAGGTCGTCATAATCAGGGATGCACAGAAATAAACTCTTGGCTGAAGGCGAAACGGAACAAAATGAAACACTGGGCTGAAGGCCAAATACCAAACACTGTTTTTCACCCCCCCCCGTGTTTAATTTGCCCATTTTTTTCACCATTGCATAAATGAAATAGCCAAAATTTGCTTTTTACTGTTTTATCTTGCTTTTCAAAGAAAAAAATCAATTACAAAACAACTATTTATGGTCCCACTTTAAGTGGCCTTAACTACTATGTACTTACATTTTAATTAATCATTTGGTACAATGCACTTATTGTGTACATACATGTTTTTACATTGTACTTATATTTTAAAAATACCTGCATGTAATTACATCTGCAATTAATTTCTGTAATTACGATTATAATTACACTGTTGACCCATCCCTTACACCTACCCAGACCACCAAGCCTGTCCCCAGTGGTGTAATGTAACGAAGTAATAATACTCCGTTACAGTACTTAAGTATTTTTTGGGTAAAGTTAAGTTTTTATATTTCAGCCAGCTTTTACTCCACTACATTTCCTAATTAAAATGTATACTTTTACTCCGATACATTTCCCCGAAGCATATTCGTTACTTACTACAAAATAGTCTGGTCTGGCGTTTGCAAGTTAGACTCCTAAAAACACCTTTGCTCACGTGCAAACAAGTGCGCGCACAACCGCGGATGATTCATTTTCCTCTCAAGTCGAGTCTGGAGTCTGCGATATACAGTATATCTTCTGCGATAATATGGTAAGTGTTGTGATGTTCACTCAAAATTCAAGGCATTCTAAATTGTAGATGGCAAAAATGCTTCTGTATGCTTTTTATGATTATATAATTTAATATAGTTAACTTAATATATATCAGACAAAGAGTACCTTTTTCTGCAGATATTAGCATGAACACATTTAATAATCATTTTATACAAGTTCAGTAAAGTTAGCAATAAGTGACTTACATTTTAGACATAATATTGCTTGTTTTTGCTCAATTTTGCCAACGAAAATAGTTCCAAACAAAGATCAGAGCCAGGATGTTTTTATAGGGGTGGCCAGAGAGAGGCCAGCAACCAGTCTGGGGTGGCACAGAAATCTTAATTATAAATGTGTTTGACTATAACGTACTGGACTGTTTTAGTGCCTAAAACACAACTGAGTACAATTAATGTCTAAATCCCGGTAAGGAGAAATAGCTGCTGAGCTAGAACACCGCTATTCTAAGATAGCTATGTCCTAAAGGTCTTATGAAGGCTTGTAGACCAGAATAACCATACACAGCTAGCCTAGATAGCCAGATCTAGATTTAGACGTTTAAAAATAGAATAAACTTTAACTAAAAAAAACAACAACACTTCAGATAGTTGCCAAGGCAACATTTCTTTTAATTTAGTTAGACTTGACTAAACGTACTAAAGTAACTGAAAAAAAAATTAATAAAATCTATAGAGACACACAAAAACCAAATAGATTTTATTAATTTCATTTCATTATCAGTTATTTTAGTACATCAAGTCTATATCTATATCCATCCCTCCATACTATGTGTGTGTGTGTG